CAATGCACGATGCATGCACCCCCTTGACTGGTTGTAAACATGAAACCTGTCTATAGGTTAAAACAACCTTAGGGTCAATGTAGATCAGGTTGTTCATGTTCATGTCATAGGCGTATTTACCAGGAGCTTTTGGCAGACAGCTGTAGTAATAGCCTTTTTTTCTCTCCTGCCCTCCTTACTAGTCTTTCTTTCTTTCCTCCCTCACCTGCACTATCCGTCTTGCTGTCTATTAAGGGAACACACATAAGGAGCATATTTTGTAATTCTTTTGATGTAACTGCTGAGTATTTACACATTAAAATCTAAAAAAAAAACACCCAATTAACTTAAAAGGTGTCTAGTTTGCATTCCTACTTTGCTTACTGATTTCAGATGCCAAGCATAAATAAGTTATAATGCATTCCTACTTTGCTTACTGATTTCATACACAATACACAGGTATTACAAGCACTCGGTGTACGGGATAGGCTGCACAGTCGTGTTTATGTGTAACATAACAGGATTAACTAGTAACAATTTACTGTAGCTTAGCTTACAACAATCACTTTGCCATGGACATTCTTTGTTAAATCAGTTCTGGTCCTTAAGTTATATTTCTACTGCCTCAGTCAAAGACATTAGACAAGTCAAAAACTTTGTGTAGACGGGTCTACCTTGTCACCGTTTGCTACTTGTCCTGAGTGAATTGGCTAGCTGCTCCACACAGACAGACAGGCTATGTTCAACTGCTAAACAGTAAGGTCGCTGTGGGAGTGTATTTATTTGAAGGTATGGAAGGGTTCACTTGGTTACATTTTGTTGCTTTTGCAGTACTGCTCTACTTTTCTATTTTCTGATGCATATTTGTATTTACCTTTTCCCCTCTATTCCTATCATTAGAGAAGTGTGGTTAATAAATATACAAGTGTATTAGCATTAGTGTTTGTGTACATGAGCCTAGAAGAAAATCGTGGCATTTAGCTGTGTTCCTGCACTGTTTGCTCAATTGTATTTCTGTCTCAAGATGTTCTATTCATGCAATCCTGTCCTTAGGCGACAGCTCTAGTCATATTAAATTGTCTCAATGAAGTCAGCTTGAACAAATATTAAATTATCAAGTAAAACTTTGAATAACAAAAGGAAATTAGGAGCAAACATAGTGCAGAGGTGAACAGACAAAACAAACAAATAAGGGGTTATCTGCTCCTGCACTGTGTGGGAGAAGAACCCCAATGATCTCAGCATGTCTGCACTCTGACGTCAGCACCAACCTGAGTGGCCGACCTTTCGAGTGCTGCAGGCTTTTTGTTTTGATTGTCTTGAGGTCCAGGTGTACAGGGCACTTCTTTGTTCTTCATCTCACTTGCACCACATCGCCTGCGGCCAGTCTCCTGCTTTCTCATCACTTCAAAAATGCATTCATCTTTCAGCTCACTGATTGTTGTTACTGCAGCTGGCTGACTGTGGACCAACGATGAAGTTCATTCTACTTGTACTACTGACTTTCTACTTTTATTAGCCTGAGTGCCAACATTACTGCTGCTGGTTGCTGCTTGTACAATGATTGTGTGAATACAAGCAACCATTGTTAATGTGACCATGACGGACATCAACTTGAAGCATCAGTTGGCTACTTAGCCTTTCAGCATGGCTCTGCACTGGTTCTGCTGCTGATCGTAATCAACAGCTGAACGGAGGTTAATTGTCAATTAGCTTCAGCTACAGTGAAAGCAATATTAGCTATGCAATGTATCAAACGCCACTGTCTGAAAGTGAACTCAGATGCAATTAAACAAAAGAAGCACCAAGTTTATTGCATCCATTTTTGTTAAACCTGTATCAGACAGTAGGTGGCTCAACTCTGATCGTTTTTGAGGCTGTAGCTGATGATATAAACATCTAGGTCTTACAACACTGCTTACTCACTAACACTTTACATTAAAAATACTCTTGGGTGTTATGAGGGCAGTCTGGTGCACTCCAACCTCTTTATGACAGTCACCGAAAATTCACTATTTCAAGCTTCACAAATTTTATTTATCTGCATTTTTGTGTTAAGTGTTCAAGACTCCAACTGTAGGCAGAGCTGGTATTTCATGAGTAAAAGCTTTATGACCATATTGTGTAGCTCATGATACTGTGAAATATGAAATATGACAAAAAGAAATAAAATAAATGCTGTGACAAAAGTGTTAACGTTTCAAGAAATCTATGACATCCCACACAATACCTGTGATGACTGACTTGCAGCTCTCCAAGAAGCTGATTCTTGAACCACTGATCAAAGTCCACGTTGTCAAACAGTTCATAGGCTGCCAGTCCAACTGCATTGTATACTGCAGACAAAACAACCACAGTCAGAAAATTTATATCATTCAGCCACAGTATTCACAGTAAGAGTGAGTATATTCAACTTGTATAAAGTGCAACACACAAAAAGCAGCCCATGTTGCAAGAGAAATTAAAAAGACAATAAAAACACAGTACCTCCATTCCAAGAAAGATGAGAATTAATTTGTCTTGTTGGCTACTCTGAAATAGTAATTACTACATATGATCACTACAGGAAGTTCTTTTTTTGAGACATTCTATTTTTTAACTCAATGTTTAATATTAGAGTTTTATGTGGGTCAACATCTCTAAAACTGAGCTACTCAGTGCTATACAGGAGTGCAGTGATGAACTTGTGCTAAGAAAAACTGAATGCGCTATAATTCTGTCCTTCAAATGTACAAACCAGTCATGACCAACATAAAATAACTTACAAGCAATTTTAGATAGAGTACATTGGTAAATTTATCAGAAACAGTGGCATAACATAGCAACAACCTTAGAAGATGCTATCCAGGTAGAAATTGGTGTAATAGTGGTAAAATCTAAAGAATGGCACTAAAAAGACCCAACTACAAAAAAAACTTAAAGATAATTCCCCAGTTCTGTGCAAGGTTGGCACTGAGCAAGAGCATACTGAAATCTACAGGTTCTCGGTCTGAGCGTGTGCACGTGTGATTGAAAGAGAGAGGGGAAGCCAAATCCCAGGCAGAAGAAGATATAAAACACTAATTATCATTCAACAGAATGATCCAAAAAACTTAATACCTCTAAATACCTCTCAGATACATGTTTGCTCATTTATCACAACAAAAGGTAGACAGAAGGACAGAACGATGTGCAGATAGGGAGATAGTTTAAGCTGCTAAAGCAGCGCCCTTGATCCTTATATAAAAACCAAATCTCTGAGGGATTACTACTCATAGGTAAATAAAAAGGGACATGAAATCGGTAAAAAAAAAAAAAAAAAAAAGAGGTACTGTAATTGCCTTTTTCTTTAGATGATGTAAAAAGGCAGCTAAGAGCTCTGCAGTGTATAAATCCTCAATATTCTTAATTCTTCATTAGTACTCACAAATGTTGTGTTGTTTATAAAGTCTTGTTTGTGTTGCTAAGTATATGATGTATAGTTGTTTCCTGGCCTACAGCACTGCTATATTATTATGGTTCTCCATAATGAGATGTTCATAGGTTTTCAATAGTGTTTTAGTGGTCCAAAAAGGCAACTCAGACGACTAATGGTGTCCTAAATTATACTTACTCAATTTTAATGTACAAGAGGAAGTTTATGCTTCCGCCAGTGCAGCATTAAAACACCAGGTGTTACAAAAAATATGCAAACATCTCATGGACGTCTGCAGCAACATAACCAAAATACATGTTTAAAAGGGTGGTTCATACTTGGTTGAATGCCAGCTAGCAGCAGTTGGGAGCTACAAAAACAGTCTAAGCAGGTGGTTGCAGTTTTGTAGCAAATATGGTTATGTATGACAAATGTCTTTATAGCACATAGGATGGACTAATGTGCCTGTTCCTGTCTTTCAGTCAGCCTTTGCAGCGTGCTCTGGCATATAATACAGGTTTGGGAGCTCAGAAAAACACTGGACTGTCTTTTTATAGTAGTATAATTAAGGTTTCTAGCCTACAATTTTATTAGTGCTATTATAATTATTGACTTATTTTCTTTAAAAATGAAAGGAAAAAAACCAGTGCATGCTGTTATTAAGCGACCCTTTGGCTCTACACCCAGCTTCACTTCAGCTCTCACAGCCTCAATTATCTGCCACTGCTACCACAGCACAGCTTCATCATCCAGTGATGTCTGCTATTTTATCAACACTGTCAACAGACAGCTGAGACCTCGACAGGCATCCAGCTTTAACAGAGAGCCTCTTAGCAGGCAATCCCAACTGTCTGTGATTTAGCTGTGTATGCCTTAAAACCACAAAAGTGGCAGCCCTGACCTGCCAAAGTCTCATAAATACTAAAAGGGGATAGAGAGAACAGCGAGTTAGTGAAAGAAAGAAAAAAAGAGGAGAAAAGTTGTCCATAGATATGAGACATGAAACAAGTGCAATCAAATAAATCTCTAGTTATACATTTCATGCAATTATTCAGAAATGTCAATCTTAGCCTAATGACTGTGACCTTGCTCTCCATCCTGTATTATGTGAGACTGTGGTAAGGAGATCTTAAATGGCAAAGCAAATTTGACAAGCTTCACATTGCGTTGACAATTAAAAAGTAATGTTAGCAAACCAGACAGATTCTCTGGAGTCCAGATGGGTCATTCAATACACCTGGCATAACAGATGACTGCAGTTCTTGAACCTGCAAGAGTGGATGAAGCCTTTGACTCACCGGCATCCTTCATTAGCAACTGAACAGGGTCTTCCACATTGGTTGGGCCTGCAAAGACATACTTTGAATGTAAAATCACTTTTGTAAGCATTTGTAAGATCAATGTTCTAATAATGTATACCATAAACATTTTTCAGTGCTAATAGTAGTTACTGTATGGAGGACTTAAAAAGCCCAGTTATACCACATAACAGCTGCAACTTAAAGATGCCTGGACTCGACTATATCAGTCGTCTCAGTCATTCTGGTGGTCTGTTCTCTCCAACAGTCCTTGTGTACTCAGGTTTCAAAATCAATAGCTGTCTCCCTTTAACCAATATGGTGTTTCCTTGCTCCAGAACACATTTCCACTCTGTCACTTGAAAATGAAAACAGCTTGGAGGCTGGCCTGGAAGCAGACCCAGGTAACCTGCCTGTCAGAACAATGGCACTGCTAATTCAGCAACAGAAAGAGCTACAGACCAATACCAGAGGACCAGTGGCAGTGTGGTGTCTGTGATGCGAGTGACTAACTAGAGAGTTGAGAGTGGCTGTCAGCAGACAACAAGAGGGAAGACGCTGTTAAGCCTATAGATTATTACACAGAGTAGGTGAACAAAAAAATGCAAGATCTCTCAGCATAACAATAAAATCCAACAGTGCTACCAACAGCCTCCAAAATGATCATAAAACTGAATCTTATTAATACCTTCAACAACTGAACTTTATAAGCTTCATAAAGTTAGGATTTATTGCAGAGCCTTATTACACAGCATTATAGGTTTAGGTAGGAGTACACATTTTCCTTGCATTGAAAAGATATTAAAAAGTTTGCTGAAAAGGGTGCAGACTGCTTTTTGGCATGTAATAATATGTGAATTGACATTTAACTGACCCTGGAGATTCTGAACCATATCCAGTAACACCGGCGTCAGGGTCTGGCTGTAGTTGTGAAAGATATCCAAGAACAACACTTCTGTACAAGGCTAAACAGATAAACAGAGAAGGAGACAAAAAGAAAGACACACATGCTGTCACTGTATGAGAACATCACCATTCATTAGTTTTTTCCCTGTGACACAGCTCACACGATTCTTAGCAGCAACCTGGTGTTGGGCACTCAGTGATGGTAAGGGGAAGATATCACATGAATAGGTGACATCAATGCATACCCTTTACATAAATTATGTCTCTCTGATTCCAATGGTGTTCAAACAAAGAAATGGTAGTCACCTCACCTTCAGTAGATACTGTAACTGATTTTAGATACCACAAAAACATAATAAACAAAGGTGTAAGTAATCTGACAATGTGGACTGAGCCAATTCATGAAAACATGCTTTGTGCTAGAGCAGTACATATGCACGTGGCTGAGAGGTCTCTTAGAATGGAGGTACAACCTTTTCCCTTTCACCTTTCAAAAAGGTCAGAGGTTACATGGCACTTCTAAAAGTCCAATCTAGCTTCATGAGATCAGGACAAACATAAAACCCTTGTTCTGGTGGTAAAATATGAACAGGTGGTGATACCGACAGGGGAAATTCACCTATAATGAGTCACTACAATTGTTGATCATGGAAGGAGCAAATACACAGTGACATTTAATCTACAAATCATCCAGAGCACAATCATGTGCTAATCTGCTGGTCAAAAGAGGCCATTTGCTGTGGAGTGACCAGTTCCTTAAAGTGGCCATGGCATGCTCATTTCCAGCCATTTAATGTTTAATCTGGGGTACCTCTACATTAGCTTTGCACCCATCATAACTCTGCTGTTTATCTATCTATCTATGGAGGAGAAATTCAAATTAATTAATGCCGTTGCAGTTCATTGTGTTGTCAGTCCACTGAATGTATTCATTGTCATCGGGATGAAAAGAGAAATTCAATAAATGTAACAAAAAATGCTTTTTAAGGAATTGCCAATGCTACCTTTAATATCGTCGTTTGTCTTTTAGTCTTGGGAAACCTTACTATGTAAAGTGTCATAAGATTACTTTTGTTGCAATTTGGTGCTATACAAATTTTAAAAAATTGATTTGGAACTAGACCAGATCTAGACTAACCATGCCAGTTTACCCAAAAACTCAAATACCATGTTCAGTCCCCCCCCAAAACAACATGCTAGGGGCATCAGAATGTTGTGGGATAGGTTCAGTATTTATTTTGCTTGATACAACAGAAGGATTATGTGTACAACCATCACCTTGGGCCACTTGTATGCACAAAAGCATTTGATATCCTACTGCTCGTACAAAACAGACACAGATGATGATGATACTCTGCATCTTCCTATCACTCAGATAATTAAGATGAGAGACATAACAGGATCATATTTGGTGTATGTGTATATATATGCACACAGCTGTGTTTTACTTACCCGTAGACTGTATTTCCAAGAGTCACCACCTGTTTCTTCAACAGCTGGAGAAATAATGAAACATGGTTACCCATTAGGAATTGTTTGTTTGAAGATTACAGCTGAGGCTGCACAGCAGAAACACTATACATCTTGCCTAAGTAGTGCAACGCGTGTATTTTTACACTAGCATGAGATTCCGTAAAACTGAATCCAAATGCCGACACTTTGAGGTACGGCACGGGGCCCTTGTGATCTCAGCTTTGAAGTGTTGTGTCTGAGTGGTTAGTGTCATTGCATCAAGTCTGCGAGGTCACTGGGCTGCAAGGAAATAATCTGTTAGCTGTCAGCACTTCATAAAACAAGAGTGCTGCAGCTTTACATAAATATCAGCTGCTGATCACAAGTTAGAAAGTTTTATATATAGTAAAATTCCCCTTTATTTTAATAGCAAAGCATTAACTGACTTTGGGAGCTGTAAACCTAGCTAACCCTCACTGTTGTGGACGTCTGAGAACATGCCAGTCTGCACATCAAGATAAGACGGCACATTTGGCCTCGGACTGTGTGTCTTGATGTGCTATTACCAAAGCTCTCAGGGTCCTCTTCCCACATTGCCAGCTCTTCTTCTGTGAGAAGGAAGTAGTGTGAGACAAGCCGGCGTCCAATCTCTGTCAGTGTGGGGTGTGTGAAAAATGCTGTCTTGATCTTGTGAGCCTCCAGGCTCTCTGGTTTACTGTCTAAGGAAGGGAGGGAGAGAGGAGTAAAAGAAAAAAAACAAAAACAAAAAAATGAGAAGAAAACAGATAATGCGATTTACCATTCTTTCAAACATGTTCAATAAACTTAGCTAGAACAATCTGTACACTGCAGTAGAGTCATATTAGCTCTTCGGTTTGTACTCCGCAGCAATTCTCAGCTTTAATCCTACATTATGGTGGAATTTATGAAAATATCAAAATGATCCATACATGTAGTATATAAAATTTTTACAAATAAAAGCACACTGCAACTTCAAACGTAAAAAACAAAACAGACAAGGACACAGTTCAAATAATCTTCACGTGAGACATTGTGTACAGCCTATATGTCAACTATCTTAACTATAGTTCTTTAACCTTGTTACTCAAAATACTTTGTTTTCCTGTTTGGACATAGGAAAAGAAAAGCAAACCTGAAGTGAGAACTTTACAGATGAAAACAAGGTATTCATCCATTCATTCATCCTTTATTCTCCACCCTCCCTGCTCCTCCATTTCCCCAAACTGTTATATCCTACCATCAATGTTCTTGGCAGGTTTGTAGGCATCATTCTTTACAATCATCTTGATGAGGTTCATGCACTGAACAATGAAGCGTTCAAAGGTCACTCCCTCCCCTGCAGGTGTGAACACATAGCTGACCGCAAATTCCAAGGAACGCTGGATTAGGGGTATAAATGGACATGGATGGTATTCCAGGAAGTCTAACAACTACATGGAAGGGAGGAAAGCAAAGCACAGAGAAGGACAAACATGGGAGAAAAAGAAAAAAGATCATAATTAGACATTATAATTGGAAGGCAAAGTACTCGATGGAAGTTGTACCACCTTGTCATTAAACAACAAAACAGGCATTCATTTATTGTCATTTATTATTGCACATTAATATTCAAGTCAACTTACAACTTTAGTGTACAGTATGATCGTCTTCTCTAGCTTTTCTCTGCATGTGCTATCTGGACCAACCTGCCGACCTGAAACAAAGAACCACCACATAGCATTGTTACTCAACAGCCGCAGTATACTTTAGGACATACAGCAACCTTAGGGAGTTCTCACAAATTGGCAATATAAAGATGTTCTCTAGTTATTTCATTTAAACCCAAGCAATCCTGTTAATCAGTAAGGTGATATTTAAAAAAGATGAGTGATAATATGGTCATATATTGCTCTGAGCATTTAAAAAAAAGCTTTATTTTATTATCCATGATATCAGTGCAAAATCATGATTATTTCTTGAAATAGCTAAAACAGTTATCGTGCTCATTCCATAGGCACTGAAAACACCTGTGTTTCCCACATTGTAAATCTATTTATCCCTGATAAAGACAAATTTGCCTTGAAGAGTAGTGTTTGGGTATACAGAAACACAATTCTCAAATGAATGATGTGTTCTGAACTTTCCTCTCCTGGAGTATTTATTAATAACCTTAATAAAAAGGTTCACTGCATGAAGCTTGTTGTTGATAACTACACTTTATAATGAGTCACTATTAATACAGAGAGAACTGTTCCAATACAACATGCAATATTAGATTACAAACTAGTTTAATTGGTGACTGGTCTCATCTATTCTAAACAGTCAGGACAGACCATAGGTAAAAGGTTAGAAAAATCCTGGATGGTATGAATGAGTAGGATCAGGATTACAAGGACATAAAAAAAAGGGTGCTCAAAAATGTGTAGAAATTAATTTATTTGGCATCATGTACCATAATAAAAGGTTCCTATTTTTTAAGTCCGGGTCCCATTCCACTCTGCTGCATTGTGAGAGCCTCATGGAGCCATTACATGCTTTGGTCTACATAATAAAGCAATTAAAGAACTTGAACATTTAACATGAATGACTTACTCCATCTGATGCACATTTTGTCTCCCTAAAACCCCTCATGATGCTAAAGCCAATAAATGTGTCCTGTGTAGTTTACTTCTTTGTCAACCTCATCTGTGATATTGGCAGAAACAATAGCAGGCTCTGACATTTCTCCAATCATTTATCTAACATTAGAACCCTTGTTTCCTCTCCCCTTATACACACATTGATTCATTTCAACAACTACTGATCCAAAGGGTCAAACTGATTGAAAAGGTTAACTGGATCAAATGTCACTCTGTCTTGCGTCTAACAGATTTTGTACTGACCAGGGATTTGAAGATCAAAACACCACTGCATTTTATTGATACACTGTCCATGCCGTTGTTACCTTGTGACAACTGCTAATCTAAGCAGCTGTTGTGTAAAGTCATCAAAGTCCCCAAGGTCATAGATCTAAACAAAGAATCATGCTAACAAAATCCATAAAGAGCAATAAAGAAAATAAAGACAGAGTTTAAAGAAATACTAAAACTAAATGGCATAACATTTTTATGACAAATATGTAGCCTGGCAAAAACAATGTATGTAGTGACTGAAAGTTGTCCATGGACAGAAATGGACAACTGACCTCAGGTGGAGGACAAACATCTAACAGGAAGAGCCAGACATCTAAATGGCCCATGAAGACTGCCCCAAAAACACCAGTTTATATAGCTGACCTTATCAGGCTGTGCAGAGCTGTTATTTCTCCCTAGCGTGGCTATGAGCTGCCTAGACCCTTCCCCTATCTGCCAGGCCCAAATACCAACAGGACCTTGACCCTGTCTCCATTGCCATCAGCAGAGATTAAATATTGGAAATGATAGCTCTGGCTGTTATCTCACAGAATTCTTTTATTAACATGTGCTGCTGTGGCAGCTCACAGCTTACACCAAGCTCTCACTCACTGTTATTACAAACTTATGAAACTTAAGGAAAGAATAAAGTCCCATTTATAGTGAAATTTCACAGTGAATGTGAGCTAACCCAGCTGCCACTAAATAGGGTGGCTACCACTCATTAGGTGTTCCCTGTGCAGCAACATTTACTGTGGATGAGGAACCTTTTTAAGGACTTAGGAACATTACCTCTGTCTCAACCAGAGAAACTGGAGAGTAAATTTAGATGCACTATTATATCCCTGGTGCTGAAAAAGGTCTCCGCCCAGAGGCTAGTACCTTCCAGGACATCATGAATTATGTGGGTGCACTAAGCACCACAGATTCCTGAACTTGTGTACAGGTTTTCCGCGCACAATATAGAAAACAGTGGGTATCTCTAGTAACATTAAGACGAGGGGTGGACATTTCTTGTAATGTTTACTGATATTACATCCAGACAGCTTTAAAAAAAAAAAAAAAAAAAAAAGAGCAAGAGAGAGAGAGCTAGTGAGTGAATGGTGCTTAGAGAACAAAACCAGAAACTAGTTAAAGCTTTATTTTGTAACTGTTTTCAGCCTCAAATCTGCATGTCTCCTTCTCATTCATTAATTGCATTCATTCAAACTTGAATACATATGAAAAGAGGATGACTTCATTTTAATTCAACAACTTTATAGATAGTCACAGTTCTTCAGATGTGATGGAAAAACAAAAAAAGAATACACAAAGGGGAATTATATGTCCTAGTTTAGTTCCTGAGTCTGCCATTGAGGGCAGTACTTATCACTCATTAAGTAAAATACAATATGTTTAGATTCCAGTTCGCCTAATCTCTCTGTCACTTCTTTAGATTAAGAGCTAACCATTTCTTAGCTAAATTTCCTGTGCAAGTGCAGAAGAATATGGCAACCACACAAACAGCACTCTTAAAATCCCACTAAACACATAATTAAACGCCTCTAACTTTTTTCTGGAATAATTGCAGATAAAATTAAATGTTGTCCCATCAGGATCAGAACATAAAGCTGAGAAGCATTTGGACAAAAAAGACAAAACACCTAAAGTGTATATGACATTTTTCCTGTTAAATCAGGATGTTGAGCTGGAACACAACTAATTAACGGGTCATCTTCACTTATTAACCAATTGAATATTAGTGAAGGAGACAAACACCGGTTTGACAGTAAGGGCAGAAGGGTGACATTCCATTTTATGCATACTTTTTTTTTTTTTTTTTTTAATCGCTTTATTTCTTAGATTTTGTTCACACCTACTGGCACAGGATGAGGTTATAGTGAAAGATTTTCCAGGAAAACACATTATATGACATCTCTAACTTGCTCTCCCATGATCTAACAGTTAAAAGGATTCTCGTTCATTAAGACAGGCTTTTAAATATTACAGTTATAGTTTAGAAATCCTTTAGAAGAAATCAATTAAAAACTAAACCCCTTAGGAAGACTCAGCCTGAACTTTTAATTTGATATCTACATTATGCTGTGCTATTTTGAGAAAGTGACTTTGGGTATCAACATCTAAGTATCTTAGACATTTAAGTAGGTGCTTAGATCAAGCACCAGTAATGGAGTTTGTTTACTGAAAGAAAGTCTAGGATCAGAGATTCAGGAGAGAGAAAAAGACAAGTACTCACAGCACTCCAAGAACTGTTTTAGCCTTTCAAACACTGCATTCAGGAAACCCTGAAAAGGAGGATAGGATGAGATAGTTAATCTCTCTGACATTTCTGCAGTTGAATCACTCATGATTGCACCATCAGTATTGCCCAGAAGCAGCTACATTAACAAGGGAATGACTTCAGTATGTGCGACTTGTGTATGTGCATATGAGTACACTTGCCTCTGTACTCAAAAGTATAAATAAAAGTGCCGACTACACTGTATGAAAGAAAATCAATTTTGTGTAGCCTGGTGTAGTTACAACTTAGCATGGGAAATTATAAGACAGATGATGGTGCAATCTGTTTAGTTCTGCATCAGTGTTCAACCATGAGGTCAACGGCAGTGTCGTTAATCAAACATCCAGCCAACACAGCCCAGCCTTCAGAGTTAGTGAAGAAAGAGAAAGGAGCACAGAAGAGAGGGTGCAGATGACAGAGAGCAAAGTTCCCGACAGACCTTTGTTAAGCTAATGGTAGGTTTTAGAAAAGGAAGGCAAGGTGGATAAACTAAAAAAAGAACACTCATATATAGAGCATGACAAAAATGTGAAATACTTAATGCAAAAGGAACCGCAAAATAGCTGAATCAGACATGATGGCAAAGCTTGGACAACTAAAGAAGAAAAGAAGCGAGGCTCATGGCACTGCAAAAATACACAAGTAAATGAATGTCACTGAAATGGATTGAGATGGTAAGAAAAAGATTGGGGGGAAAATGGAGACAGAGCAGTGTGCATCACAGGCATGCAGCAGGAGAAGGAGAAGTAGTTTGTAAAGGGAGATGAGTGTCAACAGAGCAACCAAGTTCCATTTGAGAAAGGACCTAAGGGAGGAGATGACACTTTAGGAAAAAAATCTGGTGAATGTGTTAGCTGTGTGTAGTCAAGTGTATGTGCACAGACTTTGGAAGGTTGTGGCACTAACTGTTTACAACAACAGCTTAAATGAATGTTATTTGTAATCTATAATTTTCTTTGGGTGTAAGACAAAAACGCTCGTCAACTCATAGATGTTGCAAAGTTTCCCCACATACTGAGTGCAAGAAAATATCTACAAAAAAAATGTATGAAGTGATTTGTGCTTCCAATGAACAAGTCTGCCTACTGAAGTGCCCATTTGACAATCAAGCCAGAAAGGTAAACAGTCATTCAGCTGCAAATTTGACCGCTGTGGCACCTCTTGTGAAAACAATGTTCTTCATTCTTAAATGTCTCACTGCTGCAGCAGTGCTGCCACTGTGGCAATTATGAAATAAATCAATGTAAAAAAAAATTTTTAGAAGAATGTGAATGACAGAAGCCATCGGATGTGGCACACCAAGCAGAGCTCAAGCAAGTGGCACCAATCACTTCTGATGGATCAGGCTCATGATGTCACTGTAAGCCTTTTTGTCTTACTTCCCACCCCCCATTCAAGATGACAAAAAATAAAATATATTAATCTGAACATATAAACACTGCTGATGAGCCTACACATGAAAACTATTTTTGTCCAGTACATATCTGCTGTCGGATCAAACACTTAAGTCACGCATGTGCGCCGCTCGCGGCTAGTGAAGTCCCAATTTGAAGTTGGTAGCGGCCGAAATCCACCATCAATCCTCCTTTAAGAATTAAGCTAGTAACTTTAGCCCAGAAATGAGCTGGCACTTAGCCAGGTGAGTGAGAGAGCTGAACTGTGCATCAAGTCCAACACAGACATCACCAAGAGCAGAAATTCTGCTTCAGAGGAAAACTGGCTACAAATAAATCACCTATTCAAAACAACAAAGCATGCATGCAATTCACTGGTTCATCCTTCAATTTAAACATGATAACTTAATCTTCATTATCAGTAGTGTCATCTCATCATGTTGACTCCTAGGCTATAGAGACTACATAAAAAGAGTTGGAAACTTGTTCCAGAAGCTATTTCCCCATTCACTGTGTTCGATAAATCTCCGTCTCTCATTATAAATATAGGCTATGCACACTGGGTGGTAAGGTTATTTAAAATAATTAATGAAAGATATTGATTCTTTTGCATTACATCACCAAACAGAGGTGGTGCCACCGAATCTGGCACTTGTGCCACCATCTGAGCGACTTGGTGGCACCAGTGTCACCAGTATGAAATGTTAGTCTAAAGCCCCAATGCGCTGCCTCATCTTGAATAAAACATTGAATCTGAAACACACTGCAGACTACAGACAATAATATTTAGTGACTGAGAGGAAATAACTTATGGTTGTTGTGTACTCCAAAGAACACCATAGAAACACAAACCTAACCAGCCAACTATTATGATTAAGCTGGTTATATAATCTTAACATATGCTGTGCCTGGGATAGAAAAACTGAGAACGCCTTACCAAAAACTTCAAAAACTGGCACTTGCAAGTCAAAAAAATAGGACCATCTGGACAAAAAAAAAAAAAAACTACAGTTGTGAGTGCGACATAACCGCCAGCTGTCAACTAGGTGCATCAGGGGCTCTTACACAAACTCGGAGCCGAATGTGTTGCAAGTTTGATGTATGAAAACTATTTTAGTTACTAAAACAGCTACTAAATCTAAATTTTATGATTTGTCTATCAAGAGATTTAATAAGGCATGCTTTAGTTCAAGCTGTAGGCAACTAGGGGTAAACAAAACCTACAAAATGGCATGAAGTGACAGTGTGCAAGTTTGATGTCACTACATTCAAGTTTGTTTTATTATATGATGGATTTTTCAAACATTATTGTATAAAAGCAAGTTTGGAGTGCTAATGGTAAGGTGGATATAATAATAAGTCATCTATTTTGCATTTCTTAGCTTCAGTTTAATGTGCTGTATTACCTGATGGCAAAGTTTATATGAAAGCTTTATCTAATCATAGAGTCCTTGACAGAACATAACCTTCAAACAAGTTAAAAAATAAAGTAATATGATTTAACTGTTAATTCCATCATAACACTCATCACGAAAGGAAGAGGAAAATGAGAGATGACACGCCACCAACATCTTAAAGACCTAATCAGTAGGAGCGTGACAACTTTAAAGCATCAGAGAAAATATTTGGGAGAAGAAAAAAAAAGGTTCCTGGTATCTTATCAGTCCAAAAACATTTAAACTGAAATCTCATCAGCTAGTTAATGAAGGTCAAAATGATCTGAATGAGGATTCCAATTAATGGGTTTTAAAAAAACAAGCTTGTTTTTCCTGATGCTGGGGGCCTCCTAATCCTACATACAAGGAAACAACAGGCACAAAAAAGACAGTGTGGGGAGAAAAATAACAGAAGAAAGAACAAAAGGAGAGAGAATAAGCCAAGAAATCTATGATAGGTGAGTAGATGTTGACACATGTTGCCCTTTTGTTTCTATATAGCAGCAAAAGAGAAGTCACAACCTTAGTTTTGTTTAAAAGATTACACCATCTGCTATTATTAAAAAAGTGAACCCATGGCAATAAAAAAGAAACACCATTTAATTTTAAAACAGCATGAGGTATAGCCATGATCTAACTTTTGAAAAAGGAATAGGGTTCACAAGAATCCTATTTCTCTGTTAACTCACCACCAGATTAAATAATGATAAGAAAGAATGCTGGTATCAACAAGCAAAGGTGGTGAGTCTAAGATGTTATAAGCATATACATCTAAACATGAAATATTAACTCTCACCCATTACATCTGCTCATGAGTGCTCACTCAGCTCCAATAACCAGCAAAGGCTAATGGCATTTTAATGTGAGTATTTCAACCACTATACAACCTTTAGCCTGGAAGCGAAAAGTTGTCTCATTTGTGGAATAACAGAGTAAACAGAAGATCACGTAAAAAAAAAAAAAAAGGCAAACCACTTTCCAAATAAAATGCAAGCACTGCAACAGAGAAACAAAAGCAGAGACAAGAAGAACAGCAGCAACTCACCGAGCAGGCTCATAATGCTCTGACCTTCTCTGACTGCATATACTGTGTCTCTAGGTTACATGAGGCCAAAACAACAAGTTTGTCTTTTAACTACCAACACTTCTTTTCATTCATCAGCGATTATGCTTTTAATTGATCACATCTTTCTATTAAAAGAAATTTCATTAGTGCTTCTTTCAGTTCTAATGAAATTTCTGACAGAGGTGCAAACCCACCCACCAAACATTCCCCTATCATTAATTAATAGAAAAAAAAAATACTGGACATAGTTTTCCTTCTTGTGTGTAACTAACGTTTACTCTGAGCAAATGTTGTGCAGTCATTGTAAAAGGATGTTCTTTAGCTGACAGAAGTCAGGAAACTGCTTGTAAAAGTTTATTGCTCTTTAGGTCGGGAAGTCAGGACATAGGTGACTGCTGATAAGAAAACACACATGGTGACCTGACCCCCAAGCTTGGAGGAGACAAATGTTTGCCTGGCAGAACAAAGAGCAATAAAACTGCAATAACTAGTATAAGTAGCTCTCAAGGAGGTTCGTGCTCCTTTGAGCGTCCTGCAGAGATACTTTTGAGTAGCTATTGTATGCGCCTTCTTGCAAGAACATTAACAGAAGGCCTTGATAATTTTCAAAAGTCTCAGCATTCCTTCGCCTCACCTTGTTAAATTTTTCAAACACTAATTAAGGGTGAGACTCACTGGGTAGTTTACCACTGGACATCAATGATGGTCACATTTCAATTAAAAATGTATTTTTGCAAACAACTTCACAATTTTTTGATTTGAGTCAATCAATCAAGAGCTGTTAGTCAATCTGTTATTTTTCATGTTTCAGCAGAGTAAAACATGAAGAAATCACTTGAGTATTACACAACACTCTCTAGTAAGACCCTGAAAGTCTTAACCCCTAAAGGCTAGTTACACAGATGTCATCTCAAGCTACTTCCCTCGTAAATAATTCAATCCTAAATCAACCGAGTGTTTGTCTTCATTGACAACTGGGCTGTCTGAATACTTTTTCCCTATACCATACTGTAGTTGGCAGCATCACATGACAGCACTGTGTGTTCAAGATACGTGGTTGTAGGAACAGATCATACGAGTACAACTATAATGGCTCTATACCTCGTTTCTATACCCAACCCTGCCCTATAGACTTCTACATTTCAAATTACAAGCATAATCCAAATGAATAAAGAATACTTGAAATCAACCTTTCAAAGTTATTCCATCATTTTACTACTAACAAAGTTTGTATTATCATTATATTATTCATCTGAAACATTCAGCTAGAGCTGTTATTCACCAGACTTTGACTGGCAAAACAGGAAACAGTTAGAATGTGTCTGGATTCCATTAACTCTGAAACATGAGGGAACCTGCATAGCCACTCATTTCAGATTTCACAGAGGTTTCACAGATTTGGACTTTCTTCACACAGAAATTGGAAGAAAAGCTCATACAGAACTCTTGATTCTTTGAACAGAGACAAAGCTTAAGGCACTTTCAATCACCAAGGCCATCCACATTTTTGTACATTGTAATTAGAACCATTTTCAACAAAAAGAAAACGCCAACAGCCAAATGTCAGCTTCTCAAAAATATGAGGTTCTCACCATCACTTCCATATTCTGTTGTGGTTCTTGAAATCCATGGACAGTCAACTTTCGTAGCACTGAGAGGGACAGATGAGAAAAAAAGACAAATTATTGCTAATTGCAAATGAACTAAAGTGAAATCCATTTAACTAGCATTTCAACAGCACCACATATGAATATTTCCAGAAGTTCATCACTTGTCCACTTTGTTTTTTGTTAATAGTTGGAATGATGACAGAATCTGCATTATGCAATATATAGACAGTTATTTAAGGCCATGATTTGCTTACAGTGTTGTATTAACAGATCATTGCCTTTCTGTGCACGAGGTTCCAGTTGTCTTTGTTGGGCAGATGTTTATGTGTGCAGCTGTTATTACTCTCATTTTGCAGACAGAAACCTGTTTACACACACACACTGTGGGGACTCGACTTTCCCTGTGGGTACCAGAGGGTGGTCCCTACAATGTTAATCACAAAATTTTATGGTGGCAATTTGGTTTAAGGTTAGGGTTAAGCAAGTACTTGTTACAGTTAAGGTTAGGGTAAGTTTCCAGGTAACTAATGTAAGTCAATGTAGGAGGAGAATTACTCGACAATAAGTCATAAATTAATGTTCATATGTGGTGACTTCAATATAGATTTGTTAAATCCTAACAATCACTTAGGAACTGAGGAGTTTATTAACACATTATATAGATGTAGTTTATAGCCAAAAATTACTAAACCAAGTAGATTAACAACCCAGCATGCGACACTAATAGATAATATATTTACCAATGATATTGAAAGCAAAATGACAAGTGGATTACTTATAAATGATATTAGTGATCATCTACCTGTATTTTTGGTTTATGACT